TATAAGCAACAAGGGGTGCCTGGGTGGCTCAGTCATTAAGTGTCTGCCTTCAGCTCAGGTTATGATCCCAGGGTCCTGGGATTTAGCCCTGCATCGGGCTCCCTGCTCCGCAGGAGGCCTGCTTTTCCCTCTCCCACTCCCCCTCTTTGTGTTCCCTCTCTCGCTGTGTCTCTCTCTGTCAAATAGATAAATAAAATATTTAAAAAAAATATAGACAACAAAAGCAAAATTGAACAAGTGGGACTATTTCAAACGCAAAAGCTTCTGCAAAGCAAAAGAAACCATCAACAGAGTGAAAAGTCTTCCTAGCACATTTTATACTGCCTCTAATTTGTTGCTTTTCTCAATTTTCTTCATGCATATACATTGCTTGCTTAATGAGTGACCTGGAAAGCCAAACCCTATGATATTCAGGATCAAAGCTGAAGGATGATTCTTCTCTTAGTGATTTTGGCAGGGATGGGAAGAATGGGAAGAAAGTGGATTGGAAGGAGGAGAGAAAAAGACTTTTACATAAGCTTCCTGGAAAATTTACCAGGATATTATTGGATATTAAGGGATTACTCCTTGTTTCTTATTGGCCCCTGGTTTGAAGAAATAAGTATAACGATTTACATAAAAATGAGATCTCTCTATTACGGAGAAAACATTTCCCCGAAAGTTGATTAGTTTCTCAGTTGGTCTTCATGATAGATGTTATGAACAACCAATGACACTTCTTTCTTTTTTTTTTAAGATTTTATTTACTTATTTGAGAAAGAGTGTGAGAGAGAGCATGTGAGAGAGCAAGAACGGGGTGGGAGGGGCAGAGGGAGAGGGAGAAGCAGAGTCCCCACTGAGCAGGGAGACTGACTTGGGGTTTGATCCCAGGACTCTGGGATCATGACCTGAGCTGAAGGCAGACGCTTAACCAACTGAGCCACCCAGGTGCCCCAACCAAGGACATTTCTATCTTAGACATGTAGACATGGTTCTAAATTCTCTTCTTTAACTATTTCTCACAGCCTAACTGCACAACAAGACTGGAGGTTGAACACATTGAAGAACCAAAAGGATGGAAGCACCTTACCTGAGACAATACAAATATAAAATCAAAGAAGAAATGATGAACAGAAGGTTGTAAATTAGCACTGTGAGCATTACACCGAGAACTCCCGAATGCTTGGTTCTTACAAACACCCAGTAGAGCTTTGCTGCATCAGCTATAGGAGTCTCCCCATTATGAGTAAGCCGCTGAGAAAAGAAAATACAAGAAATAAGGATGGAAATACCGACCATCAAGTTAGATGAATTTAAATACACAAAAACCATATGATACCATAATTTGTTTTTAAATTAAATTCTCAAGGTATTAAGATCACCAGATCTTCAGCTACACAAAGGAAAAGAAAAAGACTGGGCTTGCATGGCTGGTTTACCAGTTTTGTTTTTTTTTTCTCATTTTCCCTATAAGCTTTTAAATGTGTATACTCTACATGCAATTCATAAAGTAAAAGCCATGTATTATTTATGTACTATTAACTTCTGAATTTAATGAGCACAAGATATGAAGAAATTAAATATGATGGTGGAAAGATCCCTTTCTTTCTGAGGCAGATTTGAAAGGAATTTAATTTGTACTATGCATAAAATAGATGGCTTATTTTAGAAACTTATAAAAAAGTTATCAGGCTATTTAATGTGAGCTTGAAAACCAAAGTTTACATTAGGTCAATTTAACAATAAGTCCTTCTTTTAGACAAGGAACAACATATTATATATTGAGTTAGAAATAAATACAAGGCAATGAGGTCTTTAAAAATGAATATTAAATGCTACGGACCTAGAACATTGTCATTTGACGTCTTTTACCTTTGAGTTTTACAAAACGTAAATGTTCTGTAATTATGACTCTTGTGGTATCAGGTGGAAGTAATATGCAATATAAATATAAATAAAATATATTTTCTTCAGTGTAAGAAAGAAGGAAGAATTTCTTTACTTTTTAAACTGACTATAATACTTAAGTATAGCTTAAAGGGACATGGTCAGAACTAATCCATATCACATACGTACAAACAAAAACAGAAGCTCAGAGAAGTTAATCTGTATTTTCCCTACATCAGAATATCCTTTAACATCTGGACAATGACTAGTAGTCAGATATTCTGACTCTCAACTGATGTTTCTTTCACCACCAAACCAAAATTTAGATTTTTATATTCTGTACTTGTTAATAGGTTGACCTTGCAGAATGTGAATCTGTCCCGTGGACCTCAGGCAGAAGATCTGTAAGTGTTGTCATACATTTCTCCTATTCTAGATCTTCCCCTTCTGCTATTTCTTATAGGTAAAGAAACAGACGTGGGATTCACTGATGACACATATTAAAAATGATAGATATGTGATGCCAGTAACATAATCTAATCAATAGATGCGAATCATTCATTTGGCCCACACACATCGTTGTGAAATCCCACCATGTGTCATTAAGCTCTGAAGATAGAAGAGTGAATAAAATTAGACAAAAGCCCTACATTCTTCGAGTTTACATTTAAGTTGGGGTAGGGGTGGGGGATAAGCATGTAGGTAAGATTAAGTAACAAATATGGTATATTAGAAGATGGCATTTTGAAGAAAAACATGAAGTAGAAAAAAGTACAGGATGTACTTTTGGAGGTGTATTATTAAATACTGCAATCAGTATTTAATATTTAATGAAAAGCTGTCATTTGAACAAAGACTTGAAGGATATAAGGGAACAAGTGATATGCATACCAGATGGCATTCATCACACACTGCCCATACTTCATCTTTGTGTGTGCGATTCTCCAACTAGACTGTAAGTTCCTGCTTGGATCATGGGCAATGGCTGTTACATCCTATATTGTACACAGAGCGTAAGTATCATCACTTCATTATAATCCTCATCCTGTTCCTTTCAGTTTATATGTATGGTGCCTTAGATTTTTCAAAGTGTATTTCCAATTGGTTGTCCCAACAATACTGTGAAATGAGTAAGGTACGTGTTACTATCTGTAGGTATTATTACTTTTTTGTGATACATATGAAGAAGTTGAAGACTGACTTATCCAACGTCATAGAGCTGACAGATGGCAGAGCTGAGACCAGAACCCACTTTCCCCGACTCCAAATCTATGCTCTTTCTATTAATCCGTGATCACTTCTAATGGATTTTCAAGAATGATTTGCTGAATGAAGACACTTGTATTCTACCTTTGTTTGGTCTTTGTTCTTAAGTGTTCTTATTCTTATCTATCTATATTGAGGGCAGAAACAATGCCATACTTACTCTGTTTCTTTTAAATTCCTGTGCAGAGAGTATATAGTCAATAAATACATGCTGATCAATTAAAACATTCAATAGCAAATCCTTCCTCTACTTTTTATCTAGATTTGGGCTCAGGCAGAGAAAGAATTTATGAACTCAGTGGAATTGTTGTATCATCAATGGGGGTCCGGGAATGCATTGCCAACCTCTGAGCCAGCAAACTGAGAGACTAACAAAATGTTATTAGCAACATCAACAACCACTCAATGCGTCAGCCTCAAACCATTCCATCTGCCATATCTTCTTTTAGATTGCCATAAAAAAATGAATCCAGAACAAAATATATCGGTAAAATAAGGTAGCCTCTCTCTTGGCTGGCTGATCAGGATCAAATACAAGTGATCCCTGGCTTTCTCTGCTAAAAGGAAGTGCTGAAAGAACCGCAAGTGTGAACCCAGGCAAGTTGAATCTCATGAGTGACATTCAATCTATGATAACTATGACCCCATGTGGAGCAGTAGTTCACTAAATTTAATGAGCATGCGAATCATCTGGAAGGCTTGTTAAAACACAATAGCCCCTTCTCAGAGGCTGGGCTCCTTCCCAGAGTTTTTCACTCCATAGATTTGGTGCAGGGCCTGAGATTTTGCATTTCAATTTGCAGTGCAATTAAGTTCCCTGGTGAAACTGATGCTATTCATCCAGTGGACCTCACTTTGAGAACCACTGCTTTAGAGCAGTACTTCTCAAACTTGGTGTGCCGAGTCGCAGGAGAGCATGTTAGAATGTGAATTTGTGTTTAATTAATGGGCGTGTCCTTGTGTGAATTCCAAGGCTGCTGCTCTGTGGATTAGCTGCAGCTTTAAAGGTTTTTTAAAGGCAGCAAAATTAGATGTCATCTGCAATGAAGCCTGATGGATTCTAACTGGAGAGTCAATAATTGTGCAGACTGAGAATGAGCCTTCAGCTTTTCTTTCCAAGTGGAGAAAGATATGGGTGCTATACTCATCTATTAGAATCCAAGTCAGCTTCCATCAGGTTACAGACCTCTGAACTGGTGCTGAGATGGCCCTGCTGGAGGCTACTTTCCTGTAGATTACATCAGAGGCCCCAGAGTAAATTTAGACTGCTCATTTTGTCAGCTGCCTTTGATACAGTGGACCATTTAGCTATTAATCTCTCTAGAGGACCTGATTGGAATAAGGAAAGCCATTCCAGGAGGGCTGCAGACATTCTGTGTGATCTCAGAAGATGACAGACAGAGCTGCTCATCCTCCCCAAATGCCTCCACCTATGGGGTTGCAATAGGATCGGACTGGCACCCCATCTGTTCAATATGCCCATCAGGCCTCTGGGAGGAATTGGGAGATGCCATGGAATATGATCCCAGCAGGATGCAAACAGCATTCCTCTCTACACCTCCTGCTCAACCAACCTTGACCGCATGGTCTCTTCCCCGCTAATCAGAAGTTTGAGGGAAGTCAGAATGTGGACAAAATCCAATTGGCTCCAGCTCAATATATGTAAGCCAATTGTAAAACTTTTCTTTCTCTTCTTGAAAGGAGAAATACACCAATTATGGAATAGTCTTTGATCAATTAAGAAAATTTTATAAATGACTGTTTGATCACATTGATTTATTTATAGTATCCATCTGCTCTCTTGCTTGGGGCTATATTTCATAGCCAGATCTACAGTATAAAAGTTTAGTTAAAATTCAGATTTCCTTTCATTTCATGAGCATCATGAAAGTCAAAATAAGTGCCTATGGAATAAGTTTTTAAACTTTATTACTTAGAATTGTTTAAAAAGCTTTACTTCTTCTTGAGTATATTTATTATAGAAGAGTATTCCATCACAAAGCAAATAAGTAACCTAACCAATTGAAGGAACTACTATATGGTTACTTTTTAAATAAAGTTTGGTTGTGAAAACCCTTACTACTAAAAAAGAGTCACCAACAAAAAGTTACCAAATAAAATTTCTCTGTAATAATTGTGAAAATGCACCAATTAGTTTGAATTTAATTGCCAACATTATTTCCTGCTTATTCTGCAAATGTTCATTTAAGACAGTTATAAACACTTCAATTGATTATAATAGACATCCGTCATTTTTATGATGAGGAAAAACTTAATAACTTCAATTTAAGAGAAATATTAAATTGTTCATGATTACTGAAACTTCCCATGTCAACCGATTCATGCACTAAAGCTAAATTCTATGTCAATAACTCATATCCTGATTATTTTACTTGACTTACCCCCAGGACAGTATCCACTATAAACACTACCAGTGGGTCTAGAACTGTCCATAGTCCCATGGTAATGATTAACTTTGACAAGACGTCAGGGCAGGAGGCAAACAGTAGCTGACAGCCCCATCTGATCAGAACCAAAGGAAGTATCGCTGCATTCAACACTAAAGGTCCCACCACAACCACAAGCAACTCTTCTCTGATTTGAAGTGAGGAAGTTGAGTAGCAAAGCTCAACCGTGAAAGGGGAAAAATGGAATCTGTGGGAAAATAAAGCAACCACATATGTGTAAACAAGAGAAACTATACAAGATGCCAGGTATACAGAATAATTTTTAAATTATATGCTTCCTTTTTTCATATTGAAAAATTGACACTTAATACTACCCCCAAATTGGGTGTCAGAAGGTTTCATCTTTTCCCAACCTCATAGGACCACCACCAGAGCTCACATTCTAGTAAAAGGCAAATTCTATCTTGGCCATTGTTCTTATGTCATAGGCAGCCATAGAAAGAATAACAATTTTATCCACTGAGCAGAGTATTCTCTAAGAACTGCCCTGCAGATAACACATACTCACAGGTAGGCTATGTGGAATGCAAAATATACCACAGTAGACTTAGTAATGGGTCAACCTCTATCAGAAACCAGAAATGTAAGCCAGTCTAATCATTCTTCTAAGTTTTAACATACCTGAGTAATTTTGCTGTGATTCCTCTAGATAGACTCTCAAATACAGAACAACACTGCTCTGCTACCAACAAAAATATCCTATCTCTTAGCTGTTTGAAAAGGGACGACTTGACACAACCTAAAAACTGAAGGGTCAAATCCAAGGTGAGCCCGGCCATTCAAGCAGCCTTGACCCAGGCATTGGCACCCTCTTTCTACAGTGAAGTGACACTTCATTGTGCTCTAAGTTTTCCCTCCCCTCTATTTCAGCCTTTGTCATTCTGCTCGTGTGCCCTCTTTGCCAGCTCTCTACTAAAAAGAGTTCTTCATTTTATCCACTCCCTGACCTTTGCTTTGAAGGAAGTTTTAAACGTTGCTCTTATGCTGTTGTGAATGTCAAATGAAGTAATATGTGTACATTTCATAGCAGAGGACCTAACATAGAGTAAGAGCAGAAGAAATGCTCGTAGTCTCTGTAGTTACTGTCATGTCTCCTAACTCCAGTGTGACATGGAGCTAATGTAAGATTCAAGCCTGCGGATCTAGACAACAGCCAAAAAAATATCTTATCCTATCTTAGGTCTTCTGATGCTTGAGAAATCGGATAAACTGGGCTGCCAAGATATTTTTCTTGCAGTCCCATTTTATTCAACCAATAAAAATAGAGCTTTCTTTTTTTTAATTGTAGAAGTAAAAGAGCGGTTCGCAAAAAGCAACTAGCTCAAGCATATGACATTTGTCCTTTCTGCTTTGGAATCCCTCAACCCAAAAGAAAGAAAAGAGAGAGAGAGGGGAAAAAAAAGAGGGAAGAAGAGAAGAAATATAATACCTACGTAAAAATTCTCCCTTGAAGATACAGTGATTTAGTATATGTAAATATGCATATTCCAGGGCATTTATATATTTATGATTTAATTTCAAAGCACGGTCAAAAGCTCTATATGTGTATATACACACATATTCTTTTTCACAGTGTCTTAAAGTTGTTTGCAATCTTCTTAATGGAAAATATACACACATCTTTATTTTTATCTGCAACATCTACATTTGAGAAAATGAATTTTACTTGTATTGATTTCTATCTGTTTGTCTATCTATAGTGTCTTTGGATTCATGTTTATGGAGAGATAACCTGCAAAGTGTCATCTTTTTCCAGAGTACAATGGCCCAGAAGGCTGTCTGGGCTTGAGTTTGGTAATTGTTTGAATTCAATCATTTTGCAGAAGAAGCAATCTTTGCCTCCCTGAGCATAGGTGATAAATCATACTTACATTACTTCTAAAACACCTTCAGCCTGAGTCACTCTGATAAAATCAAAACAGAATAAAATACAGTTGCTAAATTCCTTTTTGGGTTCTGCTCAGAGAGTAGAACATACTTGAATCTGCTAAATTTTAGATAAATATTGATGTGCCAGTTATGTATTTGTATATACATGGCTCATAAGATGAGAATATAACTGCAATCGACGTTCTTGCTCTTAGATAAAGACATTTTTGTCTCTTCAAATCATACCCGCCTTTTAGGTCTTCCGGCAAATGGACAGAGAGGAGTTTTGCACTTTCATCTGGCCAATCAAGATGAAAACGCATCCCTTTGACTTGCAGCGGAAAGCACTCACTTTGTAACAGTTGAAATAGCCTGGAGGAACAGCCACTGGCTAAGGTAATGCAGGTAGAGACTCAGGAACCAGAGGGAAGCCATCAGCAGGATAATGTACCAGAAGCCCTGGCTTCGCCACTGAGCTAGCTGAAGTTCTGAAGACACGGACACCCGCACAAAATGGAGATGCTTGAGGAGTCCTCCAGATCCAGCACCACCAGCAACAGAAGAACAGCTACAGACAAAGCAATAATGGATTTGGAGCTTAAGGTAAACTTAAAGCAGTAAAATATCTTGAAACCATAATAAAGACATTGTGAAAGTGAAATGGAATGAAATTATTTCATAAATACTTGGACTCAGGTTACTTAGGTTTCTTTTTGCTGTAATGGAGGACTAAAAGGGACTGTGGAGATGGGTATTATTAAGGAGGGCACATGTTGTAATGAGTGCCGGTTCTTATACACAAATAATGAATCATGGAACACTACATCAAAAACTATAATGATGTACGGTATGGTGACTAACATAACATAATAAAAAATAAATAAATAAATAAATAAACAAATAAATAAAAGGGACCATGGAAAGAAGCATGCAAATGGAAATGGAAAACAAAATCAAGATGAGGTATCTCTTCACATCTGTTAGGATGACACTGTCCAAAAAAGAAAAAAAAGAAAAAAGAAAGAAAAGAAAGCCAGAAAATAACAAGCGTCAATGAGGGTATAGAAAGATAGGAACTCTTGTACACTACTGGTGGGAATGTGAATTGGTGCAGTTGCTGTGGGACACAGTATGACAGGTTCTCAAGAAATTAAAAATAGAACTACCATGGGGTGTCTGGGTGGCTCTGTTGGTTGAGCGTCCAACTCTCGATCTCGGCTCAGGTCATAATCTCAGGGTCGTTGGATCTAGCGCCATGTCAGGCTCAGTGCTGGGCATGGAGCCCGCTTGAGATTCTCACTCTTCCTCTCCCTCTGCCCTCCCCCCATGTATGCTCTCGAAAAGAAAAGAAAAGTAGAACTAGTATATGATCCAGCAATACTCCTTCTGGGTATATATCCAAAAGAATTCAAAGCAGAATCTCAAACAGATATTTGTACACCTCTGTTCATAGCAGCATTATTCACAAGAGCCAAAAAGTAGAAGCTACCCAACTGTCCATCAAATGAAGTATTATTCAGGCTTAAAAAGGCAAGACCTTCTGACACCTGCCATGACATATATGAACCTAGAGGACATTATGCTAAATGAATTAAGCCAGTGATATAGAGACAAATACCACATGATTCCACTTACGTGTGGTAGCTAGAGTAGTCAGATTCACAAAGATAGAAGGTAGAATGAAGTTTACCAGGGTCGGAGTGGGGAGGGGTTTAATGGTATAAGGTTTCCGTTTTGCAAGATGAAAAAGTTGTGGCGATTGCTTGCGCGATGATGTGAATGTACTTAACATTGCTGAACTGTATGTTTACAAATGGTTAAGATGATAAATTTTATGCTATGTGTATTTTACAATAATAAGACATTTTAAAAGAAATATGGAAAAGAATTATTATGAATAATAAACTTATTTTAAAAAATCTTTAAAATTCATAATATATTCCTGTTTATCTCACCTACCCGCAATGATCTTTATTAAAATTAGATTTTGTTATTTACCTACATCTTGTTAAAAGCTATTTTATTTAAAAAATTGAAATGAGTTATTAAGATACCACTGAAAATATGCAAATGCTTATTCCTTAACACAATACTGACATTCTGTTGAAACTACACATAAAATAATTACATGCAGGGTGTTCTGATTTGGGTTGGGTTTCCTCTTTCTGTTTGGTATTGGGATCAAGAGATGTTTTCAAAGTTTCTAAAATTAGAGTTTTTGTAGGAAAGAAGATGAAGTTAGAGTTTTTGCAGGAAAGAAGATGAAGAAGTATCTGAAAATAAGTTAGAGGCAGAACTCATTCCCCACCCAATCCCAAGGATATGTTCAGGGAATATACAGTAGAGTTCCCATAGTTTAGTGACCAAAAGTACAAGCTCCAGACTCTGCCTGTCTACACAGAATTCCTTTCAATGCCTTAGCTTGCTCATATGGAAAGGGCGGATAATAACAGTACCCACACACCAGGGTCAGTATGATGACTAAGTTAAGAGCTGTGAAACACTGAACAGTGAACCCCATGCTGTCATCACAAAATATCAAACACTCAATCCACTGCTTCGCCCTCTTCCCATATTTACCAGAACTACTTTGAAATAAGTTGACCTTCCATCAAGCCCAAGAAATATAGGGGACGATATGATTCCTTTTATTTATTTATTTATTTTTTATTTATTTTATTTTTTAAGGTTTTATTTATTTGACAGAGAGAAAGACAGCCTGAGAGGGAACACAAGCAGGGGGAGTGGGAGAGGGAGAAGCAGGTTTCCCGCAGAGCAGGGAGCCCGATGAGGGGCTCGATCCCAGGACCCTGGGATCACGACCTGAGCCGAAGGCAGACGCTCAACGACTGAGCCACCCAGGCACCCCGATTCCTTTTATTTTTAAAGGAATGTGTTATGTGCATATGTTCCTTCATTCAAACAGTAAATATCATCAGTATATACTATTGCCAGCTTAATAGAATGTTAGTTTTGTTAAATCAGTGATCTATCTTTATAATAACTAGGCTCCAGGTCCTGAATTAGCGTTTCTGATTCTATTCTAGAAAAATATTCTAGAATAATTCAGTAAATTCCTCAACGAAAAATGGCCCTGATTAAAAGCATTTACCAAAGGAGAAGCTAGTATGATAGGAGAAGCTCAGCGACAGTGATAAACCACAGCGAGTCGAGGCAGTGTGAGAACATAACAAAAATGAAATTCGTAGATTCAAAAGATCGTATATACAAAAGCTCACCTCTCTCTGAAGACTATCTAAATATGATGATAATTGCACCACGAAAAGGAGAAGATAAATAATAGAAACGAGAGCCTTTGCGGGGATAAAAGAAAAAAAAAAAAAAACTGATAACAACAGAAAGTAAAACATACTGTCCTTAGAACTCCAATCCATGACTTTAGCTTTTTGGTCTGTGCAGGACTCATGAGGCACTGAACTTGACACTGGCGGTTCTTTTTTGTTGCTCTTGTGTGTATTTTGCCATGAAGGTGTAGAGCATCATCTAACCCATCGACGTGCAGTCTGTACTGAGCGTGCTTTTCAATTATACAAATGAGGAACAGCTAAACAGGAAACAGGCCCCCGAGAGGTTTTGGTTTCCCAACGGTAATAGAGTCCTCATAGAAGGATTCCAGGATACCTTACTACATTTTTCATCATGTGAAATGAAGCCCAGGAGTTTCTACACTGCTAAAGCAAAATATTCTGTGCATGCTCCTCTTCAGTTAATTATTCTGTTGCTGTTTTGCCTCTTCAAAGAGAAGAGAAAATCAAATACAGATTTGGCATTGTGCTGTTTGCAAAAACCCAGAAAATCTCAAATGATGCAAAACAGAAGAGACAGTAGCTTATTTGACCTTTGGAAATTTCCACTGTTCTTTTCATATCCATTGATATAAATGACTAAGCAGTTTAAATGTTTATGCACAGAACCCACTATAAACTCATGCTTTTGTCATTACTTTCATGGATAAATATTTCCCACTCACATTCAGATACACATATTTGTTGGTGGGACATTTGAGTTAGGGCAAATAACACTAAAATTTCACTGTGTACCATTTATATCAAATTCAAAATACTTAATTACTTTGTACCTCGTCAACACAATTCACTATTTGTTTTTGCTTGTTTGTTTAACAGTGGTAACTATAATATCTGGATCCCAATAATTAGGAAAGACCTGGAATCAATCATTTAGAGTTTGAAAAATTATATACTTCAAAGTTAGAAGTTAATACAGGAATTAGTTGATGCTAGATGGTGGCAAATAAAAGCAAGTATCAACAAGCTTGTTAGGTGAACAAAATTCATCAAGGAGCACCTTACAAACAATCCCCATATGATAGTGACAGTCCTTTTCTCTTTATCATTTTGAATTTGTACCTGAAATCCAAATGGGTACTAACAGAGAATTACATCCACGACTATCCCTCCATACGTCGTTCTCGAAATATATTTCATTCAAAAGAAAATTCTGCAGCCATGTTTTGAAATTTTCTTGAAAGAAAGCATCTCTTTTTTTCTTGTATACATGTAAGGCACATTATAAAATGCAGTGCCATTGTACAAGATCTTCATCCACATTTCAACTGTTCTTTCCTTCCTCTGTAATCTTTCTTGGTTATGTACAAAGAGTATGACCATCAAAAGGATAATAAATGGCCTCTGCCACTGGGGTGTGTAATACGTATAGTGGGAATTGATTTGTTGGTTATGAAGGAAGCCATAGAGCACACAGATCACTGCAAAATCACATTGAGGCCAGCAGCTACTCCTCAGTTCATACAGGCAAGTCCTCTATTGCTCACGGGGTGAGCTGCCAGAGGCTGAGAAGAATGGTCAGGTCATCCAGTATTCAGCTATTAAATGAAACCTATTTCTCTGAACTTCAGCCACATTTCATATGACACACATATATCCCCCTTCCATGCCCAGTCCTTATAGAGACCCGATATCAAACAAGATTTCTATGATCCATCAGTGTAATAATAAAAAAAAAAAAAAGACCAAAATTGCTTTGGAAAAAAAAAAATAAGGCATGGAATGCATTCTTAAACTCTCTTCGACTGTGAACAGGAGTCCTTAGGGATTTGTAGACAACAAAAAACCCATCATTCATCAGCTGTGCATAATAATCCTTTTAAAAAGACACTATAGATAAATGGCACTAAAATTTCCATATTCCCTTTTTCTGGTATAACTAGCCATAGTCTAGATGTAGCATTTTTTTAAATCAAGTTTGTGTGTGTGTGTGTGTGTGTGTGTGTGTAATTCCTTTATTTGAGTGTTTCTCATTTCTCTTTTCATCATGTTCCATTTATCAAGTTTTGGAACATAGAAGCCTCAGTGACTGTGAGACTTTCCTAAGGCTTAATAGTCAGCATTTCAGGGAGTCATTCTAATGGAGGTATCAAAGAAACATGGATAGGTCATACCCTGTTAATGGTGGAAAAGGCCTCATCATAGTCCCTCAGACTTTTGCAGAAGCTGAACTAAAGCCCCAGTAAATTAAAAGATTTGCCCAAGTTGGCACAACTGGTAAGAGTTCTCTAACTCCTGTCTG